TGGGATGGTTTTTGATCAGGACTCGATGTCCCTGTGTTTCAGCAATATGTGCAGAAAGAATGAAGGGACTTGGGACTCCTGGATTTCATTCCTGTCTCTAGACAAGTGTCTTTGCAGAGACAGAGATTCTTCTGCCCATTTTTAGGCAGAATGCTTATGATTTGTTCGTATTTGGCTGGGTTTTCATGGCAATGTCTCTCACACAAAAGCCACTCCTATTCCAAAGTTCAAGTCCTTACTTCAAAGCATGGAACTGGTACAGTTTTTCAAAGGAAGGCTTCTCAGAGTTTAAGATTAGTACAACAATATATTTTTCCCAGCAGAAGAGTTTCAGCTGAAATTTTAAAAACAAATAAATGCATAAATCATTATTTAGCCCGAGACAGACGCCCAGCATGGACAATTTCAGCCAGAACATTTAAAGTTTGGCAAAGCTGTAAGAGACTGAAAATTGTCTCATGATGTGAAGTGTGTGGCATACTTCATACGAGGCGATATTATCAGCTGTAAGTAATCCAAGCTGCACATAAAATTCAGAGACAGTAGATGTTAGGGAAGGAAAAACCAGTTTTTATAGATCAATTAGTGCTACGTCCCAGCCTGAATCAAGCTATTGAACAAAACCCCACAAAATCCAGTGGTTCTTCTGCTTCATTGAGTGTCTTAACACCAAAGTTCCCCAAAGCACAAGTGAATTTTTTAGCTCCTGGTAAATATATTTAACTATATGAAGATGAATTTCCTTGAGAAAGACTATTCAGTGAATTCTGAATGCACCACCACTCCGTTTGCTTGCATCCAGTGGTTATGCATTGACTTAGTGTGCTAGAAATTTCCCTGTTGGGCATACACAATAAGCCAAGGAGACCTTTTTTTTTTTTGTAGTGCCCTTATAGCATAAAATGACAAAGCAAATTGCAGTATTTGTAGATTATAAAACCATCCTATAACCCTTTAGAGCAGACGTCAGCTTGCTATACCCACAAGGAGTTAATCTGTCCACGGTACATTATGATCTTTAATAATTGGAAGCGATTGGACAAAGTGCTGTAAACCTGGCAGAAATTTGTTGCCTTATTTTCTGCAAACCACAAGCACAGCTTATTAATTGAGAATTGAACATTAACTGGCATTAGCCAGCATCTGTAAACTGGAAAAGAGAAATGACCACGGTACTCATTCGGCTGTGAACGACTGAGCTGCAAAGCTGCAGCAGGTAAAATTGGTTTTAAGCGTGAACGCAAACCCATTTAAGTCAGCTGCTGGCAAAGACCCAAGTCTAGGGTTTTTAATGAGGCTTCTGCATCAAAATAAGTGAAACCACATGGAATTTTAATTGTTCTTATTCTAAATATGAAACACACTGGAGCAGTATTCTTGAATCTGGGATGTTAGCATATATATTGGCATATTAACATGACCACTTTTTCTGTTCTGAACATACAGGTCTCAGAAAACTTGAGCGCCAGGGTACTTTAGGGAGGAATCAGTTTGGAAGATTAAAAAACAGTTTAACCTGGCCTCTTTCTGATGTAAAATGTTTTGTTTTGTTTTTTTAAATAGGCTTTTACATTGTTTTTTCTTTGTCAAGCATGGTGAGCTGATGAGACTGTACAGGAAAAGAAGATCTGTCACTGTGCCTGTTGCCATGTTTCTCTTTCTGGCAGCACAAAGTCAAGTCTCTTCTCTTTACAGAAGGCTGGTTTTGCAATCCTGTAGCCACCATATAGGGCGGAGGATCTGTGCTTCACCCAGTTAATACAAACTATCACGAGAGTGGGAATTCACAGATGCAAATTGTTTTCTTGCTCTGACGGAGGAAAAATTAACATAAATCTTTAATCCCGCTGGGGAGAGGAGTAAATAAATTATTTACTTGCACTGTCATGTTGCTATATTGCTGATCAACATCACTACTAGATATACAAAGATGGGTGCCATACCCAGAAGAGCTGTTTATCTTCCCAGTCCAGCAAAGAGCTGAACGTATGTAAATGAATATGCATCTGGTGTTTGCAAGTTAGAACCAAAACCAACCTTAATGCAAGGTTGTTTGTGAAGGTGGGAGATAGCACAAAGGGAAAAGGGGGAGGAGGTGAAAATGCATCAATGAGATTGCATAGCTGTGAGGATAGCAAGAAGCTGAGTTTTAGAGATAACTTTTTATGAAGTTTCTGGACTCATTTAGAAAAGGGGCGTTAGAACAGGCATCATAACAAACTTTTTCTGATCTCCAGCAATATCTTCCGGCAATGGAGATTCAGAAGGCTGGGAACACGTCGCAGCCTAGTGCAGGGAGTTATGGAGACAGCAAGAGGCGTTTGGGCAAAAAGGGGGGTTGAAGAAGTGAGTGTGCAGGAGCTGTGCAGACACAGCCATGAGTGAGATAGGAAGGGTTATAGTTATTTGGCCTTTGGGCAAATAGGATTGTGCTTTACGAGCAACAGTAAAAACAAACAAGTGTGGATTTACTAGAGTATGGAAGGAGGTCTGTAGCCCCACGTTAGCAATGCCTACGTGTGCTGTGCACATTCCCAGTCATTCAATACATACATGATCTCTTGGCAGCACCCATACAGATAATATTTGGATCTAGCCCTGAAATGGAGGTTGCCTTTTAATGTGTAAAACTGTGTGGATAGTTTGTTATTAAGAAAAGAAAAATATTGGTTGCAAAGAAACCAAAAATGCGAATGTTCTTCTACACCCTTACACTCATACCAGTTCTACCTTTGATTATGAAAGTCTGTTTAGCTTCTGTCAGGGTAAACTAAGAGCAACTCTGTTCATGTTGGGAGAGTTGCAATAACAATAAGAAGATAAAAAAAAAAAAGGAGTATAAGCAGTAGCAGATTGAAACTCAGTATTTTGAGCAGCTGGGGAAATTATGCTCTAACCTTATATTTCCAGATATATATCAGACCTGTTCACAATATAAAGGATAGTGTTCCAAAATTACAGCTTTGAATCTGGGTGGTATTGCCTCTGGCTATTGTTTGCAGTTGGGAACGAAAGGAGTTGCATCAAGTAGTAGAGTGTTTGCTGTGAAGGTACAAGTTATATTACATTCCACGGGGCTGTGGTTGAAGGGGTTGATGATGGAGACGGACCCATTCACCCGTAGGTCACTGATCCAGTTCCAGATAAAGATAATAGTAATCACATTGTCATCAGAGTTAGAAATGGGCTTTTACTGCCCATTTAAAGCTCTGTACTCAATATCTTTTGAGACAGCAAATTATAATCCCCAGGTTTCATGCTGTGATTTGAATGCTTGGCTGGCTGTGACACAGGTCCTCCAGCCTGAACCCAAGCTGTGCCGAGCTTTGTCCCTCTGCTGCTTTTGGGTATCGTTGAAAGCAGGGGTTGAATGAGCTGGTAGAACAGGAGAGAACAGTGATCTAAATCACAAAATGTGCCACGCAAGTTAAAGAGTTCTGTTGAGTCTGTGGATTACAGTAGCAACCACCGTTGTGGGTGTTATAGAGAGCAAGGGCAGAAGGGCTGGAGGGACCTTCCTTTTACACAGCAGTGCCAGCAGGTCAGATCCAAAGCCTGTCTTCAAGGAGAAGTGTTGCCACGTCTTACACTGAGGATACACACGGGGTTTCACTGTTTAACGAGTCATTTTGGCACTTAGAAGACATCATATTTTCCTTTTAGGTGAATCAGATTTGGAACATTAGCAAAGACATGGGTGAACCCTTGGATATAGGGGGCTGTAAAGCTGTAGGAAAGTTGACACAGGGAGGGCCTATTTGGTTTTGTGATTTTTCCCCTTTATTTATACCCCACTGTTTCCAGCTCTCTATAAAAACGATGTACATGTATCTAGCACATACTGGCTGATGCATTTCCCTCCTCCTTGCACTGCATTTCTTCATTAGGCTTTTCCTCTGGCCCCCTTTTCCCACACCCTTTTTGTTTTCCACTTTTCTGGCTCTCAACATGAGCTTTCACCATCTTTTTCTTCTGCTCCTGTCCATCCCACAGTCTCCTAAGCACATCACCGAGCTACTAACATTTGCTTTCCAGTCCTGCTGCAAAACTTTGGGTGTTTGATGTGGGATGAGAAATTAGGCAAAATGAGTTTACCCATCCCTGTTTTGCGTTAGACTCCAATTCACAGTGTTACCATCCAGACGTTCACAGTAGCCATAAACTGTGTGGTCTTTTTTTGCAACCAAACTGCACAGACTACATATGAAAACAACTTTTTTTTTTTTTCAATAGCAAAAGAGTGTTGGGCTTGTAATTTTCCATCGACTGCACTGAAAAGTAAAACTGGCATCTTTGCTATCAGCTCAGTGGCTTTGCCCATCCTTCAGATGCAGCAAACAGTATTTTTCGGCCATAGGAAGTAGCTGAGCAGATCCTCACCTAAATAAGTCGACTTAAGGCAGGAAGCGGGGCTTGGTCACCCCCTGTGTAACTCCCCTGGTGTCACTGGTGCAACTAACTCAGTGTTGCCAGCCCTTGTAGTTTTCTTACAAGCTACGTGGCAATTTTTGCTTTTCTCAAAACCCCAGCTCCCAACAGCGTGTGCTGAGGTGGGAATCTCAGCTTTTGTGTGCAGCCAGACCTGCGTTTTTCAAGAGGCTATAAGAAAAACCATGAGACACGTAACCCTCAAAGCTCAGAAGGAAAATGAGCTCTAAATCCACCTTTCTCTTTTTGGCTCTTTTTCAATCTCTTGATTTTTGAGAATCATTTTTTTTTTCCCCCCAACCTGATTTGTAACCTTCGGACACTTCAGGCTGGCAATGCTGCTCCCTCCATTGGCATCGGTGGAGTTAGACCAGGGATGAGTTTGGCCCAGCGCTTGTGGAAGACAGGTGTATGACTCTGTTCCTTGCAATGTATTATTTGATGTGATCTGCTGTTCTCTTGGGGGCCAAAAGAAGTGGGTTTTCTTAGAGAAATAAAATTCTATCATCACTTGATACAAAAAATGGTATTTACAGAATTGTTTTCCCCCGTCTTTTGTTATAATTTTTTAGGTGCTTCAGAGCTGGGCCCATTTTCAGATCCCAGGCAGTTCACAAGCATTTCATCCCTCACTGAGAGCCGCTTCTCCAACCCACGAATGCACTATCCAGCCACCTTTACCTATACACCGCCAGTCACCTCAGGCATGTCACTGGGTATGTCCGCAACCACTCACTACCACACCTACCTACCACCACCCTACCCCGGCTCTTCCCAAAACCAAAGTGGACCTTTCCAGACCAGCAGCACTCCATATCTCTACTATGGCACTTCGTCAGGATCATACCAGTTCCCCATGGTGCCGGGAGGGGACCGCTCCCCCTCCAGGATGCTTCCTCCGTGCACCACCACGTCCAACGGCAGCACGCTGTTAAACCCTAACTTGCCCAACCAGAGTGATGGTGTGGAGGCGGATGGCAGCCACAGCAGCTCCCCAACCGTCTTGAATTCTAGTGGCAGAATGGATGAGTCCGTTTGGAGGCCGTACTGAGGTTCCTTCTGTAGCCGGCCTGACCTCCGCGAGCCAAAAACAAAAACAAAAAAAAACAAAAACAAAAACCAAACAAACGGTCAACTAACTACGAAGTGCCTGTTTTTTGTGGTTTTTTTCTTAAAAAAAAAAAAAAAGAGAAAAAAAAAAAGATTTTACTGATATGTGCAACTGTATAGATGGGATGATAATGGCCATAAATAACACAAGAGTTACCAACACCCCACAAACCATGTTTCACATTATGTGGATCAAAGCACATTTGTGTGTTTTCTTTTTTTTTCCCCTTGAAACCATTTTACCTTGTTTTATATTTAAAATGTACTTTTTACACACACACAAAAAGCCCCAACCCCTCTTTTTTTTTTTTTCTTTTTTTTTTTTTTTTTGTTTTCTAAAGTGTTGTAATGACTGGTGGGTTCTTTTGCCAATGAGAAGAGAACGGACTCCCCAGCTATCAGGAGAAACGTGATGATGCAAGGCAAAGGCTGCATTCCCTTTTATTTTTTAATAAGAAAAAATCCCTAACCATGAACTCCAGATACAGTTGCAATCATACAACGTATGGGACCCTCTTCACACCTGTAGTGCAATTCAACTGGCTTGTATTGGTGCACATAAAAAGGAAAGCAAAGATCAAGTTGCTTCCATTTTGCCATAATACATTCAGATGAAAACAGCTGTCCCAAAAAACTCTGTCCGAGCCTTGCTGCAGATAATGGTTGGAACTTCTCTGTGTTCATTGCTTTTTTTTTGGTTTGTTTTTGGGTACTTAAAGAGAATGAGTCTTCAAGTTAGGCTAGACAGCCCTGGGGTTTCCTTTTTTTTGCTTTTGTATCCATTCATTTTGCCTTTGATTAGCCAAAAACCAAAAATACCAACCAAAACCTATAAAAAAAAAAAGGCAACAAAATGTTATTACTTATGCAAAATATGAAAATGGCAATATATATTACTAGAGCCAAAATGGTATACATAGTATTTGTGCTGGGCTATGTTCTTTTTTTTTTTTTTTTTAAATTATAAATGTGTAAAATTTGAGGTTCTTTGTGAACATGAATCATCATATAACTTTAAAAGAATATTTATAATTATTTAATGACATTTGGACCCTTTAAATGTTTCTTGATGTAATGATATATTGACTTCGGTCTCTAAAAGTGGGTTGTTTTTTTTTTTGACTTAGTACCTTTCTGCAATGGTGTAAACCTCAAACCTTTACCCAACTCTGAAAAGTAGCTCCAGTGTGAACCAGTTTACAATGTGACTTAAAAATGACAAACCCAACCCAAATGCGTCCACATCAAATGACTTTGGATGTAGGATTTTTTTATATAACTTATGAAGGAAATATTGTGTTTAAAATATTTTTATTAGCTGTCTGGTTGCCTTCAACACAGTCTTGCCTTTTAATCAGTAGTTGTGGAGACACTGGAAAAATGGTAGGAAGGATGAAATATTTTCCACCCTTCTGCTAATTTCTTCTTCTCCCAGGATTTTTCTCAGAACTTCAAAATTTGAAACTATTCATATCTAAAATGTTCTGATTTGACAGCATGATTTGAATTTTGACAGGTTTGGGTTTTTTTTTCCCCCAAAGAAAAATCAAAACTGTTTCAAAGCCCATATTTTACAAATAATGCATTGTTAAAAATTTCAGAAATGAGATTAAGGGAGACTTTTTCCCCTCCCCTTCCAATTTCAGCCCACTCGATGGAATAAAAAGGTTCCAAACTTGAGACAGAAACTGCCTGGTAGCATCAAATGCTAGAGCCTTGAGGATGCTGTGTTGACTTTGAAGCTGATGTGGCTGTTGCCGTGCTAGAGACAAGCCTAAGGGTAGTGATACTCACCTCTGCAGACTCTGAAGATAAAAAAGTCACCTTAAAAGCCATCCCGGGCGTGACTCGGGGAGAGCAAATTGCACCCAAAGCCCTTCAGCAGCCTGTCTCCTGCCACCCAGAGCCCGGCAGCACCATCGCCACTCGTTGACAGCGAAGCTGTTCAACGAGCTGACATTGGCATGGTCCATCCCTCCCACGTGCGTGGTGACCTGCTCTTAAAAAATAATAATTAATAAAGTCTTTGCCTTCTAAAGGTTGTATACCAAGTATGCTTAAAGTATAAATAAGACACTTTTTTTTTTTTTCTTCTAATACTTAGTTTTCCTTCAAAGATGGAAGCTGTAATTGATTCTATTTATTGTTGGTTTGTGGTAGCTTGAAGCATACCACTGTCCTTTTATTTGTAACTGTAAAGTACGTTTGTTAGTCTCAGCAGCACTTAAAAAGCCAGTGTCTGGTTACACATTTCAGTTTTGTTTTTGTTTAGTAAGCAAGAGAAAAAGATGTACTGCCAGTGCAAGCTGTTTCCTATTTAATAAAAGGTACTATATTTGTACATTATTTGTTATTGCTGAGAAGGGCTTTTTAAGGTTTACTGTATGCATATTAAGTAATTTTTAGGGTGCTTTTGTGTTGAAATGTTGTTAAGAGTGGCTGCAGGCAGCAACCCAGATTTTTTTTTTTTTTAAATTTTTTTTTTTTTAAGACTTTGTTGTAAAATTCAAGCACTTGGTTTTTGTTTCTGGATAAATCCAGCACGGACCAGACTTTTGTTTTGCTCAGTACCGACAGGACTGTTTGTGTCCCCGTGGTTTTTCAGCTGGACCATTAGGGACAGACATTGGAAATGTTTCCTCCTCCCAGTGGAGGCACGCGTGCCCAGTCCATGCCCCCAGCTTCCCTGGCCACGCGGGCAGGCGCCTGGCTCAGCCTGCCTGAGGTGGGAAGGAAAAGATTTTCTGAGTACCTATGGACATCGGAGCACCAGCCCCTTGACTTTCATGAGACTCCCACATTCCTGAACCCTCCTGGTGCCTTTGGAAAACCTCTCCCAGTACGTCAGGCTGGGCACGGAGGGAGTTGTCCAGGCTGAGGCAGAGATGCTCATCAGAGCTTTTGGAAAATGCTTTAGAGTTCACATGGAAATGCTCTTGAATTGGGATTTCAAACCAAAAAAACACCAATCAGCACTATGTAGTTAATTGTATCAGATGATTTGATGATTTACAAGGTGCTTACTATGGAGAGAAAATCATTTTCTTGAAGGTACGACAGCCCTCCCCTGCAGTGAGGGGTGATCTTTGTCACCAGTCATAGATGTAAAGACTAAAGAATGGCCTTTTTTACTTTCCAGCTCTCTTATCCTACCAAAGATTCACTTCCAGCACAACAGGCACAGTGTCCCTTTTGCCAAACAGAGGATTAAATCCTCCTCTCTCTCCTCCTAAGGGTAACCAGATGAGGGTCAGCAGGTCGGGGCAGATGAGTAAAGCAAATGACTGAACCCACAGCATCATTCGCGTGGCGTTTATTGTTTCTTTTACAAGACCAGCTGCTGTGTCTTCCTTAGCATTGAACTTTTTTTTTTTGCCAGCAGTCCCCCAAGCAAAGATTTATCGTTTTCCACAGGTACCATCTCGAGTGGGGAGAATTTTGCACTTTCACACTTAGTGAAGCAAAGCTCAGCCCAGCGCCGGGCTGCACGCGGCCAACAAGCCATGAGCAAAAGCAATAATCAAAACCTGGATCAGCCATGAGCTCAAAGAAGCCCCATTCTCTGAACCCCTGAATTTCCTCTTGTTTTTAAATAGAATGCATTTCATTTTAACATTTTCTGAGAACTTTTTTAGATGTTTGTTTACTTCCATGTTTACAGATAACTTTGCTTTTTTTTTTTTTTTTTAAATGCAGTACTTTTAAGTATATCAGCCAAAACCATACTTTTACAGTAACTTTTCTTTTAGGTAATATGAGTGACATTCCAATTTTTTCTTTTTTTTTTTTTTTGTTGCTAAATATGCTTTACCAGTCTTGAATTTCCGCTGGAACAAAATATTTGTAGCATTTTGTGTAAATACAAGCTTTAATTTTTTATTTTTTCAAATGCTCTCACCCAAGATTTGCTTTTCATGCACATATTGTACAAACACACTCTGCTTTATGCCACAGACGATGATTGTGGATCAGTTTACTTCATCTTCAAAGGGACTATTTGTATTGTATGTTGCAACTGTAAATTGAATTGTTTGGCATTTTCTCATGATTGTAATATTAATTTGAAGTTTGAATTTCATTTTCAATAAAATGGCTTTTTTTTTGTTAAAGTTTTTCTACGCTTCTTTTTCTTCCACTGTCTTCTCTTAGCAGCAGGCAGGGTAGAGGAGGCACATGGTAGGACACGGTGCCAACCCTTTTGTGGTGGCCCCATCAATTTCTTCAGTGTTTCAGATTCCAATTAAATACAAAATACACGTTTCCAGTTCTATGAGTGGTAAAGGACACCTTCTAAATCCAATCTCAAATGTTTCTTCTTTTCCTGAGTCTGCAAACTATCAAAACCTATGTTTCTGAGAGGAATGCAAGCTGCTCCATTCATCTCTCTAGATCGTTAACTCTGAAACCTAACAACTGACTTTAGCTGGGACTTCCTGGTGCTACAGTGCGGTGGGCAGCGGTTGCAGTGTAGGAAAAGCTGGGATGGATTTCCAAACTGGCAGAGAGCAATTGGGGTTTATGGTGCTTTTGCAGGGTGGGGGTTGCACCATCCCCACCTCTTCCTGGTCAGACCTGAGAAATGCAGTTACAGATAATCTTGTGATTTGCATGGCCTGAGGCAAGAATAGTTTCCAAGCAGCAAAAGATACATGGATAGGGAGAAGATTGGGGGAGGAGGCTGTGCTTCCCCCAGCCTAGTGTCAGGGGTAGGAGGAGATGCAGCTAAATGAAGGTGGGGTTAAGTTCATCCAAAGGCTGTGTGCTGGAGGAGAGGAGAGGAAAAAGGAGAGGAGAGGAGAGAGGAGAGAGGAGAGAGGAGAGAGAAGATGTTTGCAAGCTTGTGCCTGGTTGCATATTAAGTGCTTATTCTTTTTAGCTATTTCTTGAGTCTGCAAAAATGAAGTAGTAGCACAGAGAGGCACGAGATCCTGATCATTTCAA